ACCCCCTGCGCCCTCCCTTCCACACCCACATCCTTCAATCGTAACATATTTTGACTTCTGTTCAAGAAAGACAGTAAATGTTTTCTTTTTAAAAAAATCAGATTGTTAGGTTTACTTTGCGTCACATCTTGCCAATTGGCGATGTTTACCACCCAGTGTCTTTGGATTTTCCCCCGAATGGCTTTGCCTTTGACGTTGATTGCAAGAGTTTTACTATATTATTTATGTGCCTTGTGATGGCAAAGTGTTAAATCCATATGCTCAAAATTGACAGGCGCCTGATTCCACCAGGTTCATAATACGAGGGGCATACCAACAGTTTTTTTACTTGACCATGAAGGAATAAAGGTAGAAAGCTGAAATTCGGTACTAATCTTAGTCTTTCTTTATAATGTAGTCGCCTCTCAGAGTTAATACATGTTTACCATCTGTGTATGACCTTGAAAAGACCTTGAGAATAGAGGATCCTCTCTATGTCAGAAAACCAGCCCTCTACCCCGTCGTTGACCTCATCATCACTTTTTTTACACCAACATTTTATCACAGCATAGGATGGGAAATCAGTTCCATACGGCATGCATCTCCGTAAAAATATCCTGTAGTTGCTCGCCTTGCAAGAACATATTTCTTCATTACTGCCCTGCGCTCAATTTTCTCCATTTTTATGTTGAAACTGGAGAACAACATACCCCCATTCACTTACAGTGCGCTGGTGGTAAAACCAGTAGAATGAAATTCCCCAAAATTTACAAGCATTCAAGGAAGATGATTGTTGGCTTTCACTCTGAATTTCAGCTTTCTACCTTCATTCCTTCATGGTCAGGTAAAAAAAAAGTTGGTATTCCCCTCGTATAATTGGAGAAAACTTGGTAGGGAGTGTGACAGACAATGCAGCGACGGGTATTATTCAATATCCCGACTGATTCCCTGTAAAGACTTCTCTGTTGACACCCACCCCTTGGCGGTCATATGACCTTATGCAGTTGCGAGCGCCGTAAAACCCTCTACTATACAAAAGAGACTAATTGGCAAAGAATTTTAGATCCTGGGGCCTTGGTCACAAGAAGAGAGAGCTTAAGAAAGGAAGACACCAGACAACAAGTAGGAATTAACTCGAAAACAGAGTGATGTCAGATCTTAATGGTTAGGACACGTTCTGAGAATGGGCCCACAACAGCCAGCCTAATAAACTACAGTATGGCTATATAAGATTCAACTGACTCTAGCCTCAAAACAAGAGGAAGGCGAAGCAAAATGTAAGGGGACGAAGTCAAAGAAACCCTCCAAAGGAACAACGTTATAATCATCCAAAAAGCAACACGTCTCGCCCAGGTCCGAAAACTTGCATATCCCCTCGACGCCTTGAGGTACAATAAGACAGACAAACAAAACAAAGACAAAAACAAAACAAAAAGAAAGAAAAGACGACAAACTATACACCCTGACATAGACTAATAATATATAACGTGAACTTACTGTTACAGGTTTTGTTTGTCTTCCTCGACGGAGCGTGATAATAATTCAACTACTGTCCTCTCCTATTTGGTCTCCCAAAAGAGGACACAGTTTCCTTCACCAACATAAGTGAATCAAGCTGCGTTAGTGCCGTCTTTGAGCGAAGGAAATCCGCTGTGTAGCCCTAACCTCAGTAGTTGCTAAGCGGAAAGGTGAACGTCAACAATCGCCGGGTACTGCCGTGACCTGTCCTTGATTCTTTCTCCAGTCTGACAGTGCTTTTGTCCGTCTGATAATCAAATATCTGAGTGCCGTACGGTCTTATCAAAGCAAGCGAGGGATCGGATCGCTGTGAATGCATTCTGTTAGCTGCTGGAACGGTTTATGATCCCTGACGATATCATGGTTTTGGTTGTGTTTATGTGTGTGCGCTTTTGTGTGTTTGTGTTTGTGTGTGTGTGTGTGTGTGTATGTGTGTGTGTGTGTGTGTGTGT